TGTATATGCTTCCGACAATTGCAGCTGAAACCAATCAACATGCAACTTGGAAAAAGTCATTCTTTCCAGGAAACCAATACTTTTCAGGATCAGTATTAGATGCAAAAGGGTACGTCTTTCAAAAACCACTTTTATGTCAATCCGATCGACGCCAGCAGGATTTGAACCTGCGCCCTCAAAGAGGAACAGATATCTACTTAAGATTCGAATCTGTCGCCGTAACCACTTGGCTATAGCGCCTATGAACTTCTAGTCAGTTACCAATACCTCGTCAATCGATGTTGAGCGCCACCAACTTGTAACCAATAGGAAACGAAATGACGTTGTACAGAGTGGGCATCCTCATAAGAAACCGAATATTTCCCGAAACAAACTAATCTACTCAGAGTTATGTTCACATCAAATTGCAAGGTCTATATAATGATACATCTATTGACACACTTTGTTTTCGCATCCCACCATCAAGTAACTTCTCACAGCTCTCTCTCTCCCTTTCTCTATATAGATATGCAGGTCACCTAAGGATAAATCTGCTTTGTAGCCCTCTCCGTCGTCCTCGAGAGATTATACGCAGCCGAAATGAGCGTGACGTGGCTATATACGGTTAACCATCATCAGCATGAAAAAACCTTGCTTATTGGTAATGAGAAACGTACGTGAACCCCTGCACCGCGTTACCAAGTCTACGAATCACATCACATTGAGGCGTCAATATCAAGGCAAAAAGAAAAACGACATACGCTTCGCCCGCATCTGAAATCTCCTCGGTACAAAGCCCCACATGGTTAAGGTACATCAAAAAGTCCTACACGCTTCATCAGCACACGCCCTCTGCCACTCACTCCCAAGAAGAAAGACTTACTTCAAACATCGACACAGCGCGCGCAAGGAGCGATCTATCGTACTCTCCAGCCCTCGTCAACGCCTCGACGCACCTACATATCCATATCCGAATTCATATCAAAACGACTCGGAAATCTTGGAGAGAGAAGAAAAGGCAAACGACAAAGAGAAAACGCACCAGAGCGTACAAAGACAAAACGTCCCCTCCTCCCCGCCAACGCCATCTTCAGATTTGGTCACGTCGTACCGATAGACAAGGTTCTACATACACGAAAGGCGACATGCGTGAGCCTCCTCTTCAATGCTCACCGATTAAAATTGAGCATCCGGAGACGTACATTAGAAGTTAACCCTCCCCTCTCGCGCGACTTCAAAATCTGCTTCAACGAGCTTATGAACCTCGGGTCGGACTGCCAAGAGTCCACCATGCATCAATCAGCCATTCCTCAGGGTACCAAAAAACCACACGCACTCCATGCATAAAGAACACAAGCGGCATAATCAACACCGCGGAATCCAGCACGTCCGTGTCTTCATAGCTCTGCCCGAAGAACTTGCCCTCCGCGTTCCATGCCTTGGTCATGATCTCCTCGTAGAGCTCGTCTCGCGCAGAGAGCCACCGCGCGCGGTTCGGGCAAGGGAGCGAGCGTTTGTCCGCGAGGCGCAGACCTGTGATGGATCGGTGAGAAGGGCGAGAGCGAGATCGAGAATTCGAGAATTCGAGAATCGAGAATCGAGAATCAATTGTGAATCGTGGGTCAAGGATGACTCGCGAATCGGGTGAATTATGAATTTGTGAATAGAAATGAGAATTCGACAATCGAGAATCAAGAAGTTGGTAACACAGAATCGGAGATTGTGAATTGAGGACCGAAAATTGTGAATTGAGAGCCATGAATTGTCGATCAAGAACCGAAGATTGTGAATTGTGAACAGTTGATTGTGATTTGGAAATCGAGAATTCGGGACCGAGGAAGGAGAAGAGAATCGCAATTTGTGAATTGTGAAGCAGGAATTGTGAATCGAGAATCGAGAACCGTGATTGAGAGCCGAGAGCCGAGAACCGGGATCACAGATGAGGAATTGTGAATTGAGAAACCGAAAAAGGAAAATGGAGAATTTGTGAATTTGTGGATGGTGGATTGAGAACCAAGAATCGTGAAAGTGTGATATTGTGAATTGTGAAGTATTGGTTTCGTGATTTGTGAATTGTGAATGAAATGAAGAGGAGAGATAACAACGATGAGCATAAAAAAGTCAAGCAGAGCAGATCAGGAATGACTGACCTCTATCAATAGCGACCCTTCATGATTGTCATAACACATAGCGTCACATATTATTCCAGAGGAGAGAAACAGGACGGGTGACATACCACAGCATAATCTAAAAAACATCAATGAAAAATCTCAACAACTTTTTCCCAGACAATGAAAGAACTACCACCCGACCTTGGAATAAGTAAAATGTCTCTTCTTGTTCCGGACTTCCCTAAGTATCGTCAAGAGTATCAGTCTCTGTCTGTAGCACGAAGGAAAAAAATCACTGACCATATAGATCTACGAACAGGGAAGAATCAAGTCAATCTGCCACAGAGTCCCGACTCACAAATCCGGTTCCTTATAATTCGCAACAACGTCTGTTAAACGCCAAGGTCAAACCATGCATTAGCTATCCCCGACGGTGTCTATACTGAGATCGACACGCTTACAGTCAACTCTGCGTGTCGGCAGACGAAGCCACACATCAGCCACGCCCATCGCGGGGCAAAAGACACTCACAATTCACGAACGAGAATCCTACGTGCGCTCGAGCGTCAGCCATACATGCGTACATGAGGCAACAGGCGCGGACGCACCAATCGTCATAACTCTGCACAACGTAGATGTCAGCCGTTTTTAAGGGAGACGAAGCGCAAGTGGACTTACGAGGGGTTTTCCAAACTGTCGGGAGCAGATTATCAGCGATACTAGAATCTGCATTACAAGATACAATTGACCTTTTGTCCGAGGTAGATACAATCCATCCTGCGTCCATCCTCGATGAACAAGTAATTACAATCAGGGCGAGAAGGTACGCACAATTCTCCATAGATATCCTACGAACATTTCCATAATCAGCACAGGAGCTGCAAACCATCCGATGCTGATTGCAAGAACGCACTAGTTGTACATGATCGGCAGCGCCGTTGCCGATGCGTACGGGTTTAGACCCTTTATGTCCGTCGAGGTGTGTCAGTTCTATTTCTTCTAGATCCTTTCCGCCTGACGACGCGCGTCAAGTCAGTGACAAGGGAACTGGGAAGGAGAGGGACGCGCACCGTGGATGGTATACATGATCTGGAGACTCCCGTCTGGGTTCTTGTTGCGCAGGCGTTCGAAGATGAATTCCATGTATGCTGTGTCGGATCAGCGGACAGAACGAACGGAGAGTCATGGGCGCACCATTTGCTTCTTGTGTGAATCCGAGACGGAGGAGGGCGTAGAGGGTGAACGAGGAGTCGCGGATCCAGGAGGCGCTGTGGAGGTGAGCATTTGTGTTCATGGGCGTCGTCCGTGTACGTACCGGTAATCCCTACAAGAGGTGAATATGACAGATGGGAATGGCGAGGAGGGCGTACCAGTTGCGCGTTCCGCCAATGAACTCGGGGAGGGAGAACGTCGGGCTGGCGACGACGGCACCTTGGAAGAACGGACGTCGAAGCAAACCGGGCTGAGCCGCGAACCGCACGTACCAGTCGGCTCGTAGATGAGCAGCTTGAGTGCAAGGGCACTACGGTGGACGGCTTCTTTCCACGAACCAGTATAAGTCGACTGGCGGATCCACTCGTACCAATACCGGTTCGTGATCTGCCGAACATTATCATGACGTCATCACGGAAGCAAACCACGACGAACCGTGAGCAGACTGTGCAGAAGCTCCTTGGTCAGATACGGGTCGTTTGTCGTGCGCACCTTGACACCAAGCGGGCCGATCAACACGCGCTCCAGCTCGGCCTTCTGGGCGCCGTTTACCCCGTTCCCGGCAGTGACCGGCGTCGTCTCGTGCTCGGGCGGCGTGCGGAGGACAAACGTCACGGCCTGTCCCTCGCAAAGCTGCAGCGCCGAGTACGCAGCAAAGCCCTTGTGTCCCTTTGACGTGAGATCAAGCGTGCCGAGCTCGACAGACGGGACACACGCCGCTTCCAGCGTGTTCTCGGGGATATAACGCAGGTCCAGCACGAACCCGGCGCTGCTCGTGAACACGGCCTTCTTGTGGGGCTCCTGTAGCCGCGCCTCGGCTTCGGACGCCGAGGTGGGGAAGACGGGAGGGATGGAGTTGTCTGGGACGATTTCGGTTGAGTGGGCGTCGCGCGCGTAGTTGAAGGCCGGGGCGCATTGCATCATGAGAGGCATGGTGCCGCGGATGCATTCGACACGGCGGATGAGCCAGGGCAGAAGCGGTTTGGCGGGCGAACTGGACGAGCTGGGCCGCGGCAGAAAGTCGGTCACGCTTGCGACGCCTTCTTCGTTCATGAACTTCGTTTGCAGAACCTTCGGCGAGAATGTAAGTAATGCAATTGATGTCACAATTATACTAAACACGAACATTGGAACTCGGAAGATAATTCTGCTTCACCGTGAACGGCACGGTTGGCGTGATCGAGAAATGTCCCCCCTTGTCCTTGTCGAGTATCCGGGCAAACACAGACGGCGAATCGAAATTCGGCACACAGTAACTCTCGACTTTGTAGTTGTGAGTGATGTGTCCTTCTTTGGACAGAAGAAACACTTACTAGACCCATCAAGCGAGACGAGCGCCGCAGTGCGCAGGTTTCCAATCCTAGCAACATTCAGGCGTACGACGTCATGAGAAAGAAGCCAACTCACAATGCATGGTCCGCAAGCGGGATATAGTCCCTGTCCTGCCCAGGCTGGTAATAATTCATCACAGTGCGTCGTCGGTGTTGGAAAGCAGAAAGACGGGTGGATATAGGTCGTAGGCGAAACACTTGAAGGGGTGACAGCGAGAAGCGCCCAACTTGAAACGCATGTCTCATCACTCGGTTGTCAGAATGGAAGATATCACGTGCCACGCGTGTTTCCACCGCGCAGGGGGTGTCAGAGGGTCCCGTAAGTAGAACACCGGCACACGGGATTCCCGCTGGCCACATGGATCAAGGCGCTATAGCCAAGTGGTTACGGCGACAGATTCGAATCTCAAGTAGACATCTGTTCCTCTTTGAGGGCGCAGGTTCAAATCCTGCTGGCGTCGCTATATGTTTTCTACCTTGCTTTTTTTCTTTGTGTCGACTTAGTATCTCCGTCGTTCAAGTTGCATTGTGATTCGTTTTGCATGTCATACGGCCCAAGTACCTCCTTTCTTGACAAGAATCGTCTCATGCGTTGCAAAACCAAAGGCAAGAATCTTGGTAGGCCGCTCACATTATTTTCGCATCTAGGTTCTCAGTCCGATGGAAGACACTTTTCTTGCTGTTAATTGGGAACGAACCCAGTACCAAGAGAGGACTGAAGGGGGTATTTTATGGTTTCGCACTATCCACCTCCCCCGCGCGGGTACTGGACGGCTGACTCTCGTAAAGTAACAAGGCGAGATGGCCGAGCGGTCTAAGGCGCCAGACTAAGGCCAAAGCAGTTGCTGCTTCTACAATCTGGTCTTTCGGGGCGTGGGTTCGAATCCCACTCTCGTCATGCTTTTTGAGGTGAAAGACGAGTTCGAGCGTCTTTGGAGGCGTCATGTTATCAGTTGGCCGCCCGATCCTTCCACCCTCTTCTACTTGAGAAGCCGATCTCGGATGGGTGCCAAATGTTGGCATATGCCAAGTAGAGATCAACGCCCACGGTCTCAGACAGTTCTCAGTAAGGTGAACGTGCAGTTTGCTCTCTCTCACAGTTTCTCCTAGTCTCACCGTCATTCTATTGGCAGCTCGGCTTCGGAGACCTTCTTGGCATCGATCCTTATCTTCTGTTCTTATTCGCGGTGAGACAATCGTTCTGTCAGCCATCTGATGCTCATCTAAGACCCCGAACTCGTATCCTCCCCTTTCGGTTTGCTGACAGTAAGCACGCGAGAGGAACTAGTGTTGGTTCGCACTCATTCTCTTTCTCGCAGTTTCTGTTGTTCAATATAGAGTTCTTTCTCGACGCTAAGACAAAATCAGCTTTGGGGGACACGTCACTCCCGCTCCCATACATAATGGGACAAGTCTCACAACAACGGCGCTATAGCCAAGTGGTTACGGCGACAGATTAGAAATCTGTTCCTCTTTGAGGGCGCAGGTTCAAATCCTGCTGGCGTCGATGATAAGGCACTGCGTTATTTTTTCGAAGACCCCACTTTTTGCATCTAATCATGATCTCTGTTTAGTCTCTTATTTGGGTGGGTGGAATTTTCTCCTTGCGTGGTTATTCCATTGATATTAGCCACCAGAGTTAGTGGCTCCCTTGCTTACTGCCATGACCTCGGTGTCAGGTGAACCACCCACTGATGGATACACCAGAGTCACGAATGTTTGGGTACTGGAAGCTGATTGATTACAACAAGATCGGCAAATTTCAGAACTGTGCCTAAACCATTATTGGATTTTCACAGGCAATTGTTTTTAGTACCTCGCTACAATGCTTCTCAGCAATGAGTGATTAGCTTTGTATGGATCCAGCTTCAAGTTCCCTGGTCCAGACTATGGAATTGCTCGATTGGGATTCCTCGACAACTCAACTGCAATGATTCACAAAAAACTTTGTTCTCGTCGTGTGTGGATATCACCTAGAGTTGATTTTTTTTAAGATCTCATATCAGACACTAGGTTTCCCCACAAAGAAGACTCTTTTTTGCTTGGTGTTATTCTCTCGTGGTGTACTTCCACGCTTGCTAAGATACATGATGTCGTCTACCAAATAGTCTTCTTGAGAACAACCTGGCCAACTTGCTGTCCAAAATATCGGTGAGCATAACCTTCGAAGAAGACGTCTGTCAGTCTTGAAAAATTGGTTGACCTAGTCCGTTAAAGACAGAACAGTGGGAGCATAGGCCCGTCGACGAGTGTAAAGCGATAGTGGCGCCTGCGTAAGCGTAAAGAGGATGGAGTTGTTGTTTTTAGTAATGACCCCAGTTCTCACACCAGATGAGGTCCAGCCGGGATACCCGGGCGAATTGCCCGAGGGTTTTCAATGACGGTAAGAGTAGACAAGCCTGTTTGAGTGTAAGACCGTATACTGTATTGCTTCGCCTATTGGTGGGGTTCCCGATATTGTTTGTTGGTGATACTAAACATCATATTGGTAAATGGTGTCGTTCGTAACAGTGAACAAGACAAATTTGTGGTCCTTGAGTAGAGCTTTCGGGCCTTCAGCAGGTTCTGCATCACCTTCGTGCCTCTTATCGTCTCTACTGCTTCATTTCACCTCCTGAATTCATATTCTGCGAAAAGACGGATGCGTCGTCATCACTTGCCGCGATGATAGTACCAGGCGTTGATAATACTTGGAGAGATTCAGGATGAACTGGAAGCAGATCAATAGAAACGCATTCCGAAAGTGGAAATGCCTATACGGACAATTACATTCATAGACCACGACTGTAGCAAGTCCAAGATAAGCGTTCCCATGGTCGATGATTTATACAATCCATAAGAGTCCACAGTGAGTGAAACCATAATCAGTATCAGTTCATTCTCGACCCAATTAGCCAAGTATGTTGGGCATTTGTCGACATCATGTCGGAGAACAAGCACGGACCTTCCCGATCAGGGGTCGTGCCATCACGTTCTTCCACATCTCTCACTACTCTCATCGATTGGTTGCCAGCCATCCTGGAGATTAGGACTTCTTATTGTCAAGACCACAAATTGGTCCATCTGCTACTGTACGGACGTCTATTCGGATATTCTGAGGGCCATATGGTGTCAAAGCAACCCTCAGAAAAAATGTCGGCTGTGTTGAATGCCCCTTCTGTCAATGCGCAAGTGGACCTCCGTCTGGTAGCTACTTTAGAACCTTAATAGGACACATACAGCTCTGTCACTGCTTGTTTCTAGGTCTACCCTCCGATTATTCTTGACGTTATCGAGCAAGGAGACGATAGACATTGCTGCCTTGGGAATCCTTGAAAGTTCTCCAACTAGACGTGACGAACTTAACTTGTGCTCTGTCTTCTATTCTTTTGGGACATGCTTGTGCTTTACGAAGACACTTTTGCTCCACTGCTATGTGACTTCAAAACATAACGATAGGTCATAGCTTGTGACAGTGCTCCCTCGCGAGATCGCCTCTGCCGTCTATAATAAGATATTATGGTCATGAGCACCGCACAGCTTGTGTATGTGCCATCACCGTTTAACCCCGTTCAGCTCATTAGCTGACTTGGTGTCCAGCCAACGAAACGCATCACAGACGTCAAATACGAAACATGACAGATCTGAGTCTCTCCTTCCTTGGACTTTAAATGGACATAGCATTCCCAGGATTGTGCAAGACAAGATGTAGAATTCCAGAATGAAGAACGTCGCCTTTTGTGCATGCATCCATCAGGCCCTCAATCGAGTCCATGTGATGATCGGAAACATGATTTGCCTGTATCGATCAAGTTCTACTAATGCAAGTAATGGTCATAGCTGTTACAAATGACCTTGGTGACACCTTCTATCATACTATCCTCCACATCTTCTGCACATAAGAGTCGTAAGAGCCTCTCATCCTTTCCGCCTTCTCTCAAGTCTCCCCCAACAAGTCCATTCCAGTCTGAAGAGCACTATTTCACTTTCACTGTCAAACGCACAAACAAACGTGGGACAGTTCGCATTCTCCTTCTAAAGTCTCCTCCACCGTTCCATCTCAGTCCGAAAAGAACTCCGTCTCCTTTTCACAGTCTTTTCCTTTCGACCCCATCATCAAACCTGGGACAGTATGTTAAATATATCCATAATTTATGGACCAGTATTTGCAGGTATGTACCTCAGAAGATGGGCCTGGTATTCCTATTTCTCTCTACATTATAGCCGCCGTGATCAGCTTAGCGTATGGGTAATTCTACATTTCTCACTATCAGCTCACATTCAACTCAGTCTTTTGGGGGTTACGTGTGCGCAAACGGCATATTACTTCCGGACATATCCTGATGATGGTCGAGTGTTAAAAGGAGTAGTGAGTGTGCCACTTGTGTTCATCTTGCTTCTCCAATAACTATTTGGTATCTGTAGGTTGTAGCACTTCTGTGAGTACCATAGAGTATTCTTCTCTCGTTAGATAACTCAGCATCCATAAGAATCTTGGAGGTTGCCCAGGTGGTTTCCCTGCTACATGCAGCACATGCTGTCTACATCATCGGCAAGATGGTCGAGAAAACATTTGAAATCTTGGATGTTCCTTTGTCAGTTTCATACTAATCCCTCTGTAATTGTTGACATATTCCTTCTAGAGGAGCTGCGGTACGTGGAATATTCTACTCGATCTGAGCATTTAGAGACAGGAGGTAGGTTGCCATCACGATCACAGTATGTTCGCGTCCATTCGTATTTGTAACCCTCTTAATCACCTATAACAAAAGATAATCCTCACATCGGCAGTTCAGGGGTACGCACATGCTATGTCAAGTCGACCAAAGTAACTGTACTTCTATCAGCTTCTATGCATTGAGAATATATCACTGTGAGCTCTATTATTCTCATTTGATATAACAACTTTTACAAAATGATCAATAGTAAGTGAAAGAAGTCCATGGCAAAAACCGCTTGTTGCCTTTATAGTATGCATAATTCTATTCTGCAAATGTACAAGTCTCAAACACCAATCATACTTTATTAGCTCACTACAACTCTTGTCGAATCTAGTGATGTTATATGTTATTATTTTTGATACCCCATGCTAACTGTTTTCTAGGTAGTGCATTAAGTGAGACAACTTTATAATATCTTCACCCTTTCTGATTCAACCGCAATGTGATTCATCACCTCAGCTGTCAACACCTCACTGTTAGTACTGGTTAATCTACAGTCAACAGTCTTTGAATCATCAAAAAGATTTGGTAATACCCCATTAGACATCATGAATATGCCGAGACAACGTGTAGGGCTATCTACTTTGAAAAGTGTTTGCTTGGTTTTGATTGGCATCGAAAACAGGACTTGTACTCAGTCGCTTTATCCATGTGCATAATCTGTGATGTGTCTATCACCGCATCTCTTGTCCTCTTTCTCAAGGGGATGCCTACTGGATTTACAAGGTGAGCTCTTTTGTAAGTCTACAACTTACACTGTG